ACACACACACACACACACACACAGAGCTGAGGTTCAAGTATTAGAACACTGACCTGGAGCAAAAAGGCTCAGGGGCAGCTCCCAGGCCCTGAGTTCAAGCTTGAGAACCATCCTGCACCCACCCCCCCCGCAAAAGCCAAGATGGAGGCATGTGGTAAAGTGTTACCTGAGCAAAAAAGTTAAGCAAGTTTTAGGCTTTGAGTTCAAACCCTGGTACCAACCTCCCCACAAAGAAAAAGAAGGTGTCTAAGTTCCTCTACAAAGGCTACCCAGCGTCTATCCAGCTAACTATGGTCTTTGTAATAACCACCTTCCACTAGTACTTAAACAGAGATGAGACACTAGGGAAATGGTAAATACTGTATCAGAACATGTCCTTATAAGGAGATAGAAGCTACAGCACTTCAAGGGCAAATGTCATGTTTGCATCCATCTTGTAAAATGTTATAGAACTACTAGCACTCAATAAAGAAAAACAAATATGCAAGAACTAAAGAAGTGGACATAGAAAAATGGGGTTAATTTTCTGTATGTTCCAAAGTTTAAAAGTAAAAAAGTTGAGGAAAAGCCTTGAAGTTGGTTTTTATAAAAGCCAGTTTAAACATATGGGGAGAAGAAAAAGTTATGATTCTGACTTCCCCTTAACTGTTTACTCCATGAGAGACTACATACTTTTCTTTTTTCTTTTTGGTCGGTCGTGGGGCTTAAACTCTGGGCCTAGGAGCTGTCCCTCAGCTCTTCAGCTCAAGGAGAGCACTCTACCACTTGAGCTACAGTGCCACTTCCGGTTTTCTAGTGGTATTGGAGATAGGGGTCTCACGGTCTTTCCTGCCCGGGCTGGCTTTGAACTGCGATCCTCAGATCACAGCCTCCTGAGTAGCTAGGATTATAGGCATGAGCTACCGGTGCCCGGCTTATACTTTTCTTTTTAATGTGTGGGAAAAGAATCATTTTTGCTATTACATCTAAACTGATATTACTAAAGGGGCGAGATCTTAATCATGACCACAAATCAATCTCCATACACATATCACCACATTCTCAGAACTGGAGGTGTGGCTCAGTGGTAGACTGCCTACCTAGTGTGTGGTAAGACACCAGTTCAAATCCCAGTACAGCTAGAAGTAAAAAACCTTCCTAACTACAATTCTCATACAAACTTTAACTTATAGACCCATTTGGGTATTTACTTTTATCAACAGCTATCCTCGAAATAGCCGAAGACCTAAAACTGTCCTGACTTTTGTTTGTCCTTAAAATTTCAAGAGTCACAACCTCAGAAATCTAGAGCAGCAGTTCAATTACGGAGTTTTTAGTGTTATGGGCACATTATACAGGTTACATCACAGCTGCTTAGCCTGCAGTGCTCAGAAACTAGCCAGGTGGGACTGGAACATCTGGGCTGCACTCAAACTCCACCAGGGACAGCTTTCAACATCTGGTGCCATTTCTGAATTGTCTTATCGCTGCGAGACGTTCTGCCCCATCTGCTACACTCAACTGGGTTAATTAAACTAGAACCATCTTCCTTTCCTAACAAACGGCCAGCTGTAACAAAAGGAACAGATCAGTTTGAGGCATTGTGTATTTGGTCTCTCTCTCAGCGTATTTACTGAAGTCAACTCTCAGCAGGTACAGCTAATTCTCCATTCCTTCATATTACAGAGGTGCATGCTCTGTATGTGTACACAGTCTCACCTAGCAGCAAAGTGATGCCGGCCACAGACTCTCCACTCCTACCATTACTACACCAGATAGGTTTTAAAATTCATTCTAAGGGAAACAGCTCAGTGCTCTGCTCTCCTCTTCCCTAAAGGTACGTGCTCAGGACAAAACGTGACAAGGAGTACAAAGGACCAGTGAATGACCATACACTGTAACCCACACACAGGGTTTCACTAAGAACAATCAGGGAGCAAATGGATGGCACCCACAGCTGCTGCTTAATGTTGGTAAGTTTGTTTTCTGTCATGTTCCTTCATGTTAAACTATATACTGTTGGGTACAAAATGATGTGGCTCACCAATTAATGTTAACATTAAGGGATTTAAAAATGGAGACCGTCAATGTGCTTCTAGGTACACATTCATAGGTCACGTATTATGCTGAACAAGTAAAGATTCTTATAACTAGTCTAAGCCACAAAGAAAATTCATGCCACAGATAAAAGCACTGAACACCACAGATCACAGCTTAAAATCAAGTAAGAATCTGTATTTCAGACAAATACTTAAACTTTGGTTATTCTGCTACTCCCTCTCCTACCACAAGATGTTTTAAACTTATCCACAGCAAACGTTTTCCACTCAGACTACAAGAACTTTTGTTTCACGAGACTAAGGAATATCAGGAGTAGAGAATGGAAACACACACATAATTTACCAATAGAAGCCACTTCAGACACAGACCTAACTTCCCTATTCTTCTTACCCTGCTTCCACTACCACCTTTAACACAAGGTCATCTTCAATTCTGAAAACTGTCTCAAAAATTAAAAAAAAATTCCCCTTTCATTCAGGAGAGTTTTCCTTACATTCACAGGTATGACATTCCTACCAATGCTTGAGTCTGAACAGACATTTAAAAGGCTTCAGCATTTTCCCAGATAATTTCTATCTAAGGAGGTGTAAACAAAAGAGTCTATCAAAAATTGCCGCATGTGGAAGACTGCTAATTTTCACAAGAGCGATTCCTCATGATTCCCACATGAGAGCTGTCACTACAAATGAACCATTTCCATCTGCCCTTTTCAGGGCGGCAAGGAGGTTATTTACAACCACCAGCTGGGAACATGCATTCTCCGAAGCAATACTGTGAACAAGAAAAATATGACTCGGCACTGCTTCAACTACAAACAGAAATTTTCCTTAACAAAGAATTTAATATGTGATGAATTCTAATGTATTAAAAAGAATGTATTAATGTATTAAAAATACCAAAATACACAAAAGTTAAGATAAAAATTATCCAAAATCTATAAAAACTTTTAAAAATCATTAAGAATAAATACTTTTAACAGAAAAAAATGGATATAGCACATAAATAGGCAAGTCATAACTGGCTTATTAAAAGTGTTCAAATCTCACCTAACAAACAAATGAAAATGAAATACTGTTTTCACCTTATCAACCTGAGCAACTTCAAGAGGTTCTAGTATTTTGTTGTTTAGAAGAGAAAAAATTTTGAAAAATAACAGAAACAACTCTAATGACTACATAATAAGGGACTGATCTGGTTAAGTAAATTACAGTATAGCCATACCAGTACAATTATAAAATAATGAAAACTGTTAATATATACGCCATCCTAAGAAAAGAGTCTTTGGTAAACAGCAATTTAGATAGAAAAAAAAAAATCCTTATCTAGAAGCCCAAAAGATTTGTCCATAAAAAAATGCTTAAATGCATGTATTATCGGACTATCCAGAAAATATAGTTTTAAGTACAGTACAGAACTGTATGTGCTTAACTTTCTAGTTTGTGCCCACATTTCTTGCTTGATGGTACTGTTATAAGTATGGGCACATCTGCTAAATGACACTCAAGTGACATACCAAGCAGTAATGTTAATACGGCAGATTCTTACGCTTTCTCATGTGTAGGTATTAAAGATTTACTACCCAATTTACTTTCACAGCAGAATTTAAGTTAAAATATGGTTATTAAAATTACTCTGGTAGGGTTGGGGAAGCAAATCTTCAAGACTTGTTGCTTATAATTTCAAATACAAGGTAACTTTAAAATAATTCTGCTGTCAACCCACATTCAGCTGTTCTTTGGAAAATATTGGAATAAAATCAACTTTTAAGTTGAGAATATTCTAGATTTCTCTCAAACTTTCTTAATTCCTACATGAATATTAATTGCTACTTTCATCTAATGAGTCAATTTGCTTTTTGCACTAGAGAAGAGAAAACCACTCCAAGCTTTCTTTGCAAAGGAAGCATGTTGGGTATTTAATAATTCTGTCTGTTCAAACCAATCTTGAGATCACGGAGGAAGAAAGTTCCATCCACTCATCTGCCCTTTCTCGTTAATTCTTCTCTGATAGCTCCATTAAAGCTTTCCACAGACACATAAAAGGAGGTTCTATTTGGACTGCATTGCAGAAGTCAGAAATTACTGATACTCTATGATACTATGTATTACATGGATGACTACATGTTAACTATCAACACGATGGCTCAATATCAAACACACAAAAATTCAGCATATAAACTGCGAAAGAACTAATATGGTTATATTTTTAAATGACACACACCAAGGTTAACAAGAAGAAGAGGCCAACATGGAACACTTACCTGTTGATTGGCTGGAGCCATCAAACAGATCAACAAGATCTCCAGATGACTTGCTTCCAGGCACTGAAGTCTGCAAGCAAATACAGAATAGGCTGAGCCAACATTTCTCCTCTTTTCTGGTTTCTTTCCTGCCCCCACCCCTTCCAAATCAGCTCTACCCACCTCTACTTCCCAATTTAGACAAAATACCTATAACTACCTACATAGGATAGATTATGTTTTCTAATAACAAACTAATGTAGAATCGTATGGAAAGGCAGTAAATGAAGTATCTCTATAAGCAGCACTACAGAAGTCCCTAACATCTACAGTCTTTTTATCTTTTGTCTACTAAAGGTTTTGACACAGAACAGCCCAGGTTGGCTTCTGTCCCCAAGCTCTAGGATTACAGGTGTGTTGTTTCATATTCAATTTCCAAACTGAAGTCTGGAGTTTGTCCCCCTAGTTTTGTCTTCTTGATGGTGCTGCCAAGTGTCTGAATACCTAGATCCTCAATGATCAGTCCATACACTTAAAGTAGAACTGAACTGTGAGACAACAGGAAAACTCTGTAAGGCTAGGTGTGGTCATTTGAGCTCTGAGGAAAATACCGTGTTTCTTTTGTATTTATATTGTGTTATATTTTATTACCTACTGAAGATTAAAATACTATATATTGTGGTTCTTCAATTTTTCAACTGAAAGAAATCGGGAGCAATTGGACAACCTTCAAAACTTTCAGCCTTCCAAACATTTTAAAATTAATAGAAACAAAGACAAAAAGATTATACTACATTGGGCTGGGAAGGTAGCTCAGTGGTAGAGCACTTGCCTTGCATGCCTGAGGCCCTGGGTTCGATTCCTCAGCACCACATAAGCAAAAAGAAAAAAAAGCCGGAAGTGGTGCTGTGGCTCAAGTGGTAGAGCGCTAGCCTTGAGCTGAAGAAGCTGAGGGACAGTGCCCAGGCCCAGAGTTCAGGCCCCACGACCGGACCCAAAAAAAAAAAAAAGGATTATACTACAAAGTTAGACGTAGTAGGAAAAGGTAAGCAATTCCAGTCTGAAGTAGAAGGATCATGAGTTTTAAGGCCAGTCTGTGCTATACAGTAAAACACTTTCTCAAAAAAACAAAAAACCCCACCAAAAATCCAACAAAATAAAACATGAACAAAAAGATTAAAGTTGGGCACTGTGACTCAGGCCTATAATTCTAGCTACTCAGGAGTATGAGATCTGAGGATCTGGGTTCAAAGCCACCCAGAGCAAGAAAAGTCTGTGAGATCCAGTCTCCAACTCACTATCATAAAGCCAGAAGCATAGCTGGGGCTCAAATGGCAGAGTGCTATAAGCACAAAAGCTCAAGGAGAGCATCCAGGCACTGAGTTCAAGCCCGAGGACTGGCACATGTGTGCATACGCGCACAAAGATTATACTACAAATGTCAAGTATTTATGGCAGGCACTGGTGAATCATGCCTTTAATTACTCAGGAGGACAAGATCTGGAAGATGATGGTTCAAGATGCATGGAAAAGCTAGGCAAGCGCTCTACCTCTGAGCTACAGCCCAGCCTTCATTCCTATCTTCATAGACAGTGCAAATCACTGCAATTGGATAGGTTTCTTCCCCCTAAGACATATTATTGACTGGGTAACATGTGCCAACCAATCTATCATTAGTATGACCAAGGATGCCCAAGTGGGCTAATGCAGAAATTCTGAAAGGAGTGCTCATCCACAACGCCTGTGACCCCTTCTTACCTTCACTGAAGGCTGAGGTGTATGGGCTGGCGCATTCTGGTCGGGACTGGCTTTGTCCCCGGTATAGTGTGCGGCGGCACCCAGGTCAATGGTCTTGGAAGGGTTGGCTGTGCGCTTGTGTCGGGTGGTGGTGGTCTCGGTGGCCTGCGTGATGTGGATGTGCTTGGTCGTCACCGTCTCTTCTTCATCTTTGAATTCGCCTTTGGGAGATCTGCCTCTTCTTGCCTTCTTTTCCTCATCACTGTCACTACCAAGACAGTACAAAGGAAGCAAAACAGTAAGACTGGGGTGGTCTGTACAGTGAGACCTCAATGATTTGGATTCCAAATGTCGTAAGCCTAACATTCCATGTTTTTGACAGGAATCAACAGAATGTTATTTAAGCTGTATGAATAATGATGGCAAAAAAATACACAAGCCTAAACACTGCTATAAATAGGTACGTCATAAAGGTCTACAAACAAAAACGTCTAAAATACCTCCTTTTATTGTAGGTTTAAAGCTTAAAGATAAGCTTTAAGATAAGGCGGGGCTCATGCCCGTAATCCTAGCTACTCGGGAGCCTAGATCTGAGGATCATAGTTCAGAGACAGCCCAGGCAGGAATGTCCATGAGACTCTTATCTCCAATAAACCACTAGAAAACTGGAAGTGGCACTGTGGCTCAAGCGGTAGAGAGAGTGCTTGCCTTGAGCTGAAGAGCGCAGGAATAGCGCCCAGAGTTCAAGCCCCATGACCGACCAAAAAGACAGGTACTGGTTGCTCATTCATGTAATCCTAGCTATTCAGGAGGCTGAGATTTGAGGATCAAGTTTCAAATCCAGCCTAGGCATAAAGGACTCTTAGGTTTCAATCAACCACTAAAAAAGCTAGAAGTGGGGGGTGTGGTGGCTCAAGTGGTAGAGTGACAGACTTAGTGAAAAAGCGAAGGGATAGTGTCCAGTCCTTGAGTCTAGACACCTTTTGTTTTGGTAGTTAATTGGTCATCTTTGAGAATCTTATCTCTAATTAGCTACCAAAATGCCAGAAGTGGAGTTGTGGCTCAAGTAGTCAAGACTTGAGCAAAAAAAGCTCAGGGACAGTGCCCAGACCCCAAGTTCAAGCCCCACGACTGGCGCACGCACGCACACACACGCGCACACGCGCACACGCACACACGCACACAATCACAATCTCAATAGGTAGTTTTAAAATATATTATCCTGTTTAAACTCAAATAATATAGTTCTCATCTGTGAATGCAAAAATTGAGGTTAATGTACTTTGTAATTTTGCTGTCTTTTCTACATTATCACAAGATTGCACCACTGTGTAACTATGTAAACTGCTTCATGGAAACAACTGTATTTAAAATGCTTATGAAATTTCTTTGATCCCATTAAAAATGTTTTAATAATGTAAAACATTTTTGTTCTGGGTCCAAATAGGAAAAAAAGAGATACAGACAGAATAAGAACTTACTTGCCTACCCTGAGTTCAAACCCCATTACTACAAAACAAAATATGACACGAAATATGTTCCATTACCCATATTACTTAATTTTAGAGTAGGTGGCTGAATTTATGAAAATCCTAAAATAAAATGCCTGAATTTCTCCTTTAAATTATGACTATTACTGATAAAATTTAACTCAGAGAATTCTCAAGCAATTTCTACTTCATATAAACCAATTTGGAGCTTGCACATAGAAAAGATGAAAAAGAATGACTTCCCATACAAAGCAAAGGGGTTAAATGCAAATTTTATGTGCAAGTATTTTAGGGAACACACAAGTTCTGACAAGTAGGCAGGAGCTGTTATAAATGGCCTAGACAAAAAGTGACCTAAGATCTCAACCATTCACCCACTAGATAAAACTGCCATTCTTAGCTGTCTCATGTCCAGTATTATTCCAAGGCAAAGCGATCTCTTTTGTGTTAGGCTTTGTATGTGGTCACTGTTTAAGAATTCCTGACTCTAATAATGAACTAAGAAGAATGAAATCCTGCTAACATGTCAGAGGTCACTCACAACTTCGTCTAAAAGTCAACTATTCTCTCCAAGTACTTCAAAATGTACTTCAAGTCCCTGATGTGTTTTATCTTCATTAATATTTGCTATATTTTCAATCTTTTAAACCTGAATATTCTATATCAAGGTCGTGTATTAGACAGACTATGAAATAACCACCACTACCACCAGAAAAAACGGGAGGGAGGAAGGGAGGAAAGGAGGGAGAGAGGGAGGGAGGGAAGGAGAAAGGGGAAGGGAGAGGGAAGGGAGAGACAAAACAAGAAAAGAAACCCTAAAGGGGTGGATACACTCCTGGTCCCTATACTACTTCAGGAAGTATCAATAGAATATATGGCCACTATGTTTTCTAAACCAAGTTAAATATATACACCAAACTAGTGAGATAAAAACAGATTATTTGAAGCAGGAACTGTTTCCCAAATCTTAGTATTAATAATTATAATATTTGTGCTCTTTCCTTATAAAGGAGCTAGAAATGTAGCTGTGAATTAGACATATTTAATGTACAAAAATAAACTCTGGCCCTTCAAAGATCACATTCCAGAAAGTAGTAAGCCTTGAGTTTTATTTCTATTGTTTTGTGTCGAACTATATAAAATCCTACCCTCAGAAAATGAAGTTTATGTGAGGCACAGTGGCTCATCTCTGTAATCCCAGCTACTGAGGAGGCTAAGAATTACAGGATTAAGGTTTGAAGTCATCCCAGGCAGAAAGGTCCTGATGACTCCACCTTCAATTAACCTGAAAAATGTTGGGACTACAGAGAGGCATGGCTCAAGTAGTACAGTTCTAGTAGGAAGCAACAAAGCAGAGTAAGAGAGTGAGGCCAGAAGTTCAAGCCACAGCATACACACACACATACAAGAAATAAAGGAAGGAAAGGAGAGAGAGAGAGAAAGGAAGGAAGGAAGGAGAGAGAAAGAAGGAAAGAAAGGAAGAAAAGATAGAGAAAGAAAGAAAAGAAAAGATTTATGAGACTACAGGTCAGAACATGTTTAACTCTTATCATTTGATCCATGCCCTTGACTTTCTGCCAGTTATTTGGATGTAAGTGTCTCTCATATTTGTCTGCCCCAGCTGGCCTTCCATCATGAACCTTAGATTTCAGCCTCCTGACAGCATGAGTCACTAGTAACTGGCTTTGTTCTATGTTTTTGCACAGGACATTTTTAGGGCAGTGACCTATTCTACTTGAGTGTTACTCATCTGTGAAGATCAACGGAACTGTACAATACTGTAAACCCTAAAATACACTCCAAACATTTTTTTTTTGTCGATCGTGGGGCTTGTACTCTGGGCCTGGGCACTGTCTTCAGCTCAAGGCTAGCGCTCTACCACTTGAGCCACAGCACCACTTCCAGTTTTCTGGTTTATGGTGATAAGAGTCTCATGGACTTTCCTTGCCCAGGCTGGCTTTGAACCGTGATCCTCAGATCTCAGCCTCCTTAGTAGCTAGGATTACAAGTGTGAGCCACTGGCGCCTAGAATTCCAGACTTTCTTATGGCCAATTTCTAAGATTCTAAGACCCCTCTAGAGAAGTATATTTAAAAATTGTGAGGCAAGTTTAAACTCTAGTACCAGAAAGTGGGGGACGAGGGGGAGGAAGAGGGTGAAGCTAAACTTCAGACAATGCCATCATCCCAAAGAGAAACCCAAGGGCATAAATTTGACACATTTCTTTCCAGGAGACCAGCTGCTAATACCTGCATCTTTCTGGAGAGTCTTCTCGGTCTTTCCTCCGGAACTTGCTGATGGTGTCATCGATTGTGCTTCCAATCTTATCACTCAGTTCCCCTAACTTATCACTGAATGGAAAAGCACTCTTGTTTTTATCCCATTCCTCATCCCACTTTGACTTGGGTTCAGGGTCGTATCTTTCACCTATGTAACACATTAAAACGAGAAGCAACTCTGAGGACAGTAAATTCAAAATGTCAACAGACCTCATTTCTAAGACTTTTCCTCCTAATAAAATCATTTTCAAAGGAAAACAGACCGCTCCTACAGCGCTGAACCAACGTGATCTCAGCAAGGCACATCATGTCATGCCGGTTGCTAAGTGGTAAGACTGAGGGTTCAAGAGCTTTTCTTTATGAAAACTCTCACAGTCTAGTGCACCTCATTGGAAGGCGGCTGCAGGCAGCAGCTGAACAACACTCAAAAGAGCAAAACAGAAAAGGAATTACTTTTGTGTTTCAAAAGTCATTTAGTATATGATATACTTCATTCCTGTCTCAATGGTTTTTCAGTTTTAGATTAGTATTCGTAACAGTGTCTTAAAAAAAAACAACAAGACAGAAATGTAAGGCAGGGGTGGTATAGGAGCCTGTAATCAGTGAAAAATACTTGGAAGGGAGAATGGGGCAAAAGCTCACTTTATCGCTTGAGACCAAGAGTTCAAGGCTTGGCTGGACAAGACAGAAACTCAAAACAAATAAACAACCTCTTCCCCCCAAAAACATACAGCAGCCTCACTCAAATACTTCATGTCTCAATATGCAAAGGAGTAAGCAGCCGTCACTTTTTAGCATCAAATTAAAAACCAACTTGAAGGATTTTAAGGCTTGGCAGGGCATTTTGTAATTGTCATAAAGAGAATATTCTCTCTCCTAAGACCGCACACATTAGAGTCATATGGTATGCTCAGGCAGTTCAGAGCAGTGACAGCCAGTCCGACCAATGGGAAATACATGCAGGACTGGTAAAATCTAGTGTTGGCATGGACTTGGGACTCAAGAGAGAAATTATGGACACAAAATAGAACTCTCTTGCTTTTGTGTCCAAATTCTGCTTAAGACACCAGAGTTTGAAGGAATTAAATCATGTGAGGGCTAAAAGGTGGAAAATTAAGGTGGGTTGAGAAGCCCTGGGGCAGGGACAGAAGAGACAGTAAGATAATGAGACTACAAAAAATGCACCTACTAAGAACACTTGCCTATCATAAAAGAAACCCTGGGTTCCACTCATATAGGGCACATGCGCATGCACACACACACACGCACACACACGTGCGCACGCACACACAGACATACTAAATCTAGAAGGGACCATTAAGTTAAAACAGATCCCCTCTGTACAGTATGTTCACAAATAAAATAAAATTAAATAAAAAAAAACAAACAGATCCCAGTTAATCAGGAGGCTGAGGCAAGAGGATCACATATTTGAGGCTAGTCTGGGCAAATTAGGGAGTCTGGAGTAGGCGTGGCAGTAAAATAAAAATAAAAAGGGACCTGGAGATGTAGTTCTATAAGCACCTGCCTACTTGCCTAGCATGGGTGAGGCCCTGGGCTTGGTCCCCGGTAATAGACACAGACACACACACATACACACACACGAAAATAAGGTAAATAGTAACTCAAACCATAATTGTTTTTCAAGAACAAGTGATTTTTCAATAGTGTGTAGGTAAATTCCAATTACAATGTGATGAGCTAAATTTTGAAAAGAAGCAAACTGACAAGAAAGATAAAATAGATGACATCAAACTGATTAGTGTCGTGGACATCATACTAAATTAGTGCTAAAAACGATGGATACTGGTATATTATATAATGTGAGAATGAAAAAAAACATACAAGACAGCTACAGCTGAGTGGCAAAGTCTGAAAAACATTAATAAAGATCGAGCCAACTATGAGATGCAAACAGACTGTTTACTTCTAATATAGATATTGCAATTAGTGTGACTCACTCACTCACTAAATTTATTTGATATAAATACCTATCATGCTGGGGGAAGAAGAGGAGTACAAACAAGCTGAATGAGGAAATGAGTTGCAAAGAGCAATTTCAACTGAAAAACACATTTGCTATTTTCAGAGTGAAAAAATAAAATCACTAAATAAAATGACTATTAGGGCAAATCCCCAAATTTCTTACTCTCATATGCAAACAACTCCAAAACATATTTATACATTTTCACTTTAGAGAAGACTCTTGCCCATTTCATGAAGTGTTATGTGATACTTCAATACAAAAAAAAAAACAACTTTTCTTTTTATATAGCTAGCTAAATGAAGCATTTTTTTTTTGAGGGTAGGAAACAGAGGAGTAAATAAAGGTATTTTGTAGGTCATCACAAAATAATAGAAGGTTTTACACAGTTCTTTTTGAAGAGTTCAAGCTCTCCATACAGATTTATATCATCTAAATAGAAACTGACACATGGGTGGGAAGAGCACTGCAAAGTACACAGCACTAGCCCGGCTGTATACATGCAAGCGATCTAGTGCTATAGACGCTCACACGAGACTGGCTCAGGCTAAGGGACGTGCTATGAGACGCTTCCTATTTGTATTTAAAGCACCTGGTGCACTGTTTTTATATTATTACAACAAAAATACAAATGTTCTACTTGTTCCTTTTCTTTAAGACAAGGTCTGTTAAGCCTGTGCTGGCCTCCAACTGGCGATCCTTTTTCTATGTACAGCTTCTAGTTGCTCTAAAAAGTCTTTGGAAATGACTAACAAACCACAGACCTTGAAGAAAAACTCATAGTATCTTCAGTCACTTCCTAGTTCAAATTAGACAGAGATTAATTAAGGAAGAGAGATTGGCACCAGATTAATTTATAGGAAGCATATCCATCTGGGGCCAAAAATAGAGCTAAATTGGTTTTGAATTAAAAAGATGAATCTTTTGATCAAAGTATGTATCTATACTCTACACTGTGTCTTAGAGAAAGCTCCTCATTTAAGAAAGAATAGTAACCCTAAGAGGGAAGTGCGTCCTTGTTTTATTCTCTGCACCTTAATGCCAAGTTATACTCATCTAATTAGCCATTAACAATGAAAATCATATTCTTGAATCCCCAAGATTCTTGCTACGGGAGCCCAAATGGCTACCATGTATAGTTTAGTAATCTATATATTTCTGAGAAGAAAGATTCACCCGAGACGCAGGGCTGATGATGCTTAGGTGGCAGCCTGCCCTTGATACTCACTGTATCGGAATCCTCCAACACTGTCTGAGGAAACTCCGACATACTTGTCTTTGTTCTTCTTAGCTTTCTTTCGCTCTTCTCGAAGCCTGTCATCATCTTGGGCAAACTCAACTAATTCCTTCACCTTCTGGCGGATATTTATACCTTGATCCTTGCCATGCTCATCTTAAGAGTCATAAGGGAGAAACAAAGCCTTAACAATTCACTTTGAATACATCAAACTCTGTCAGAACATGAAAAACTAAGCAAAAAGTAGTTACAAATTAAGAAACCAATTTCAATATTGTAAAAATATAACATCGAGAGAGGTGCACATTCTTGTACTTAACTTGGTCATTTCCTCTTCAGCAAATCCTAAGTTCTGAAATGTGATTTTGACTTATGGACCACAGGAAATAGTGTTGTGTGTGGTCAATAAAAGGATTACTGATGGTGACCATATGAAATGGACACATCCATAAATACTACCCATTGTACTGTAGCGGGACAGATCAAAACAAGAACTACTTTTCACATTTTAATGAAAAGCACCCCAAATGTCTTGATTTCCCCCATACAACTTTGGGACACTAATTATTAGAATTTAGTATGGCTGAAAAGCTGAATATTTTTAAAGACTTTCAACAAACACCTATAAAATGAAATGTGCTTCATTCTCTAGCCTCTTTCATTGAAATGTGCTTCATTCTCTAGCCTCTTTCACATTCACAACACACTCTGGCCTTGCTGCCTCTGCACAGTAAATATTATTTGGTGGGAGGGGGAAAGAACCCAGCTTCAAACAGATGTGTGTGTTTTGGAGCTCTAACCTTTTCTTCCCATATGATTAAAGCTATTCCTTTATGGACACCACAGGGGACCGGTCTCCAGTGCATATTTTAATATAAACCCGAACACTCATGTTGTGTTGGTTCTGTTGTTATTAGCCAGTCTTTTCTGCAAGTTCTTGTCTTCACTAATTAATACTCTAGGGCCCCACGTCTTGGATTCTGCACTCGTCACACAACTGGCAACAGTCACATTCTAATTAGAGCAGAGGAGCTTCTAAGCTGGTTCAGGTGACTGACAACTCCAACTACTGTTTTAATTTGCTTATAAGGTTTTTCTATTGCTCACCTACAAAGTGGTAATTTTCCAGGGATCGCAAATCATAAATGTGTTCTCTGGCACTTGTAACAACACGTTCTGATCCATTTCTTATGAGGTAAGCTAGGAGCAGCAGAGACTGTGGAAATACAAAGCACCAAATGATTTAATGAAATAAATTTTGGTAGAGCTTTGCTAAATGGTTAAATAAAAAAATCAAGTCCAACATTAGCAAATAAAGAATCTTTATAGTGGTAGTTTTCTTTACATTAAATACATAATCTACCACTTATGTCAATTTGAAGTTCCTCTAATAGTAAGTATAGTAAATAATTATAAACTATCTAACAGATACTATGTGTCAAAACTTTAAAAAGTCAAGTGATTCTCGTGTTCAACTAAATCTAAATGAACTGATAAACAGATTTTAGAAAGATAGCTCAGTTTTTTGTTTTTTTTTTTTTCCTGGCATCATGGAACTGCAAATTATGAGAAACATCAGAAGAATTTTTGGATATCCATAGACTCCCAAGTATTCTCTCAAGATAAAATGTGAATTTTGAGGTTAATGATATGAATTTTGTATCATAAGACTGCAGCAAACAAATGAAAGAGAAGGTTTTTCAGAAAATGTCCTAAAATGTGAATCTAGGCTTGACCATTAATAGATATGTAAATTCCTCATGAGAGAATGAAATGATCTGAAATCAGTGATGACTCCAACAATTATGAGCACACTAAAAAAAATTTAAAAATAAAAATAAAAAAAGCCAACACATTGAATTATACATTTTGAACTTACCATGTATGGGACAGACCTCCCTTAATGATAGATGGAAATCTAAGTTGCTGAAACTGAAGAGTCACGAAACAATATCCTATAAAGTCATTTACTTTTTTAAAAGGTAGTACCATGGCTTAAAAAACAAAATCCAAACTATATTTACAAATATTTTACAGAAAATGTAATGAATGTTTTCAGGAATCGGCAACACAAAAAACATACAACTAATGCACAGATGTGCAATTTTGAAAGCAAAACTTCAAATCTACAAATATGAATATGTCACCTTGGAAAATATATTCGGAGTTGCGAGGAAATATGGTGGGGACAGAATAGCAGATGGCTCTCCTGTTTAGAATTCTGCATTCTATGGTATCAGAATTAAAGGAATCTGACAAAAATTACATGCTCATAAATTAAAATATTAGAATTTAAGCCTATGTCATAGAATCTCTGATTATATTCTGAACGATTGTATTCTGGGGTGTTGACTCCTATTAAAATATTACTATAAATTAAGTGAAATTTTATGTAGATATGACAAACCATACTGTTGGTTTTTATCTTCACTGCTCATGCATTACATATGTTCATGATTATATATTCTTTACTTTGGATATGCACAAACATTTTTAGTGTGAAAACTTTTAATAAAAGTCTTTAACATTTTAAACACTTTATAGTAAGAATGGTTTATGAGTAGGTGTTTTATAAAGTACTGTTTTATCTCAAGTTCATTCTGTACATTAGCCTTACATGTAGGCAAGTGTTTTCACCATGTGAAAATTATTCAAACAGGCTTATTTTCATACCTTATAAACTCTTCTCCAATTCTTTTTGTTATCCTTTAACATTCGAGACCAAAGCATGTTCATAAGTTCTGGAAATTGTTCATACATAAATGTAGCCCTGAAAAAAAGGGTAATTGTCCTTAAGCATTTGCAATATGTTAATTTTGACAGTAGATGGCAGGCTTGTTCCAAGTTATTAAGTTTCCATTAGGTGCTTAAAAAATAAGCTCAATGCAAAAAAATTTTAGATCACATACTTCTGACAATGTTTTCCCCATGTTTTACATAACACATAGCACATCTGTAAGCTCCAATAATCAATAGCAGACACTGCAAATTCTTTATTCTCTGGCATAGACACCCAGATAGTCATCAGGAAAAAATTCTAATAATTTTACTTCAAATGTTTTATATGCATTCTTCAAAATTTACATCATAATAAGCTATATATTCTTAAATTTCACCAAAACTTTTTAAGTGTTAAGCTGATTTTTAAGGAAAATGGATTTTAGGTAAAACTTTCTATATTACTATCTAAATAATTATGCAAAAATTTAATCTGGCAACTAAATGGTGTAAAACTGAAAGCAAATTTCACATTTCTGTGTAAAGATACCTTGATTCTTTCTGCACTGCTGAGTCAAATTATCACTTACTTGGCAATCTCTCCCATGAGTTGCCCGGAAGGTCCCCAAGGATCATCATTCGTTGCTTCTCGAACCTTAGACTCGATCTCTGAATAATTCATAACCACATTGGTGCTGCAGAGAAAAAAAAATGTACACACATACGCACAAAGATTAGCATCAAAACTGAGAAACACATGAAAACTTAATAATGACACTACTGGGTGTCCTAACGAGCTACCTCTATAGGGAGGGGAAGGAGACATCTTTTGTGCACTAGTGACCCAAGGACACTACATAGCACATTTAAGTCACCTTTAAGAAGACTGCATTATTTCAATAGCCTTCAAAACTATGGTATGAAATTACATTGGTCTTGGCATAAGTCCAGTAAAACAAAAACAAAAAAACTGGCTTTGAGTTAAATTCAAAAGGAAACTAGGACTGGGTACCAGTGGATCACACCAATAATCTTAGCTACTCTGAAGGGTGATATCTAAGGATGGAGGTTCAAAGCCCATCCAGACATGAAAGTCTTTGAGACTCTTAGCTCCAATTAACCAGCAAAAATCCAGAAGTGGAACTGTGGCTCAAACAGCAGAGTACTACCCTTAAGACAAAAAAGCTCAGAGATAGCACTTGGGCCCTGAGGTCAAGCCCCAGGATTGTCACCAACACTCCCCTCCCCGAAAAAAAAAATAAAGGGCACTGGATATGTTAGAGTTTTGTTTTGTTTTTTTTTTTTTGAAATGAAACTAAGTAGCTTGTTTTCTGATCAAACTCGGTTTACATTTAGGCTCAAGCTTCATGTTCACAAAAATTTTGTAGAATAAGTAAAAATTATATAACACTGAACTTGATCTCTATTGTTTTAAAAAAATGACAATTCAGATAAATGGTAAAATGTTTATGGTGCTCTACCAATGTTTAGAGCATCATATCCATAACCCCTTGTTACCATACTTATCTTCCATGTCACTACATGGTCACATGGTCACATAATACATTCCACCAGGAGATGGCATTTTTAACTTTCTCTTAAGATGTCAATAATGGTCAGGAACATAGACTAGGCCTAGAAGTGTGTGGCTCAGCATTAAATATGCAGTGTTCAAGCCCCAGTACCACCAAAGGCAGAAAGATCTGACTCTAAATCCCCAACACTTTGTGACCTTTGGAGAAGTTGATTAATTTCCTCCAACATAAAGTAGAAATAAACAAGAACATCACCCACAGGACTATCTCATTGTGTTTGGCAATAGCTGACAGACATCCTATAACTACTATGAACAGTTTTAAATTAATATTTATTAAGAATTAGCTTTACAAATAGTATCTTAAAAATTAAGACATGAGATTGCAAAGTCTTTGGTTGTTAAAATGTACTCTGTCATGCTGCTATGAATCTAAGAATTCAAGTGCATTTTGAGAAGAATTGAAAAAGGACTAAAATTATGACATAATTCACTTTTTATCTAAAGCTCCAATTATTATTGCACAATTATTATAACAGACATCAGAAAATAGGGTATTTCAAATCTTCCCCTTAAAATTAAATCTTAGCCAGATCTCAGCCCTCGGGAGGCTGACTGAGGTCTGCGGCCAGAGGATTCTGGGTTCCAGGCCAGATAGAGGTTACATATTAAGACCCTGCCTCAACAAGAAATTAGTTATAATGCAAAAATCAGAAATTGGTAACTATTATATATACTCCCTTTTGCTTTTGTTATTAAATGTTCTTGTTTTATTAAAATAAGAGAGGTTTCATTGAAATTGGTACTCAAATCTCTCAGATATACAAATATTAACTTTAGAATGGTCACGGCAATTCCTCCAATTTCTTTAACCTTAGGGAAAAGACCTATAAGCAGGCTTAGGTCAAACTTTAAAGGAACAATTAACTATGAACAAATATGACTTGCCAAGTCATAAAATAAATCTGGCTTTTAGATTTATAATACTGTTCTATCTAAGAAGGAAAAATTAAATCCTAGTATTTTCTTTCATACCCTGGAGAAAACTTACTCCTAAAATGCCAACTAGTTTGATAAAATAAATACAAAGCATTTCCCTGAGGCCAAAATAAATCCATAATCTCTAGTGCCTTTCAAGATATAAGACTATTATTGAATGAATTTTCATAAAACTAATTCTATGGACAACTTTGTGTAAATGTAGAAGAGCGATTTTCCCCCTGATTTTATCAACAATGGAATCAAAATAAAAGCATGGCAGCCAATAACAGATTTGCAATTTAAGATGCCCACAGTGATGGGTTTCTGAATGCTTTTGTTTATTCTGGTGGCTAAAGAATGTATGGATCAGGCAGTTAAGTGTCAAAATGCAGCTGTGAAAATGAACAATAGCAATTAGGGGTATAATTCACCCAAGCATTTCATCACCAAGAATGTACTTGAAAATCTTTTCACTGCTTAATTTGTTGGAGAACAAGATGAAAGGAGTTAATCTCCAGTCCCTGTATATAAAATACTTTCCCCAGAGCCTCCATAAATGCTGAAGTTTCAGCACACTACTTCCTTGTTCAAGCTACAGAAGCCCATGGGTCAGATGAGAATGCCCTACTTCGGCAACCCTTCACAAGATTTCTAAGGTGAAGGCCGGCAGTGGGTATGTGTACAAGGAGAGTGGCAGACTGCCAATGAGTTAAGAATCTCCATATTTCCTTGGTAGAAAAACAAAAAGAGCCCTTAGAATGTGTAATATAGTTATAAAGCACATCAACGATGGCTACAGAAACTATAATAACCAAAAATAACAGAACACTTCCACAAAGAATATCAGGCTCTGTTTTAAAGCTATTTGAGTGAAATCATTGCTATTGGAAACTAGAAAGAATTCTTTCAAGATAAGATCTGATAACAAAAAATTCCAAAACAAGGCTATTTTCAAGCTTCATTTAATTCAGAAAGAAGCATAAACTAAAACCAAACACAACTAATGTTCTATAGTGTGACCATATTCCAGGTCATTAAAAACAAGCCGGGCTGGGAATGTGGCTTAGTGGCAGAGTACTTGCCTGGCAAGCATAAGGCCCTGTGTTCAATTCCTCAGTACCACATAATCAAAAAATAAGCAAAATTAAAGCCGGGCGCTGGTGGCTCCCGCCTGTAATCCTAGCTACTCAGGAGGCTGAGATCTGAGGATCGCGGTTCAAAGCCAGCCCGGGCAGGAGAGACCATGAGACTCCTATCTCCAATAAACCACCAGAAAACCGGAAGTGGCGCTGTAGCTCAAGTGGTAGAGCGCTCGCCTTGAGCTGAAGAGCTGAGGGA